ACCCTAACCCGAATAACTGGATGGCGGCTGAGGTCCCAGCGCCGTGGGTGTTCCAGCTGTGAAGGGAGCAACGTTGGGGCAGTGCCGTGCTCCCCTTGGGATACCTTTGGAATCCCTGTTGCCTCTGGAGCTCCAGGCTTGGTGTTTCTTGGAACACTAACCATAATAGCTTTCATGGGGGGGGTCTGCGTAAAATTCAACCCAGTGCTCTTAGTTAGTAGTGCTGCCCCCGGGGTTGCTTCCAGCATCTCCCACCCTCCTTGTTGGAAGTCAGGAGCCCAGACCCAGGGCGCAGCAGGGGAGCGGGAATGCCACGCACCGTTGGCGCACGCCGCAAGCAAAGCGAGAGGCAGAGGGGCTACGCGGGTGCGTGCGGTTGCTGTGCAGTGGGTGTCCAAGGGCAGTGGGGAGTTGTGGTCAGTGAGGCAGCAGGCTGAAAGCTTCAAAAATGTTGAAAAAGCTCTGAAAATTTTTGAAAAAGCCCTTGAAAAAGGGGTGTTTTGTGCTGCCGAGGGCTGTTCTGTAATATTGCATCCTGGCTTTAGACAGTTTAATTAGCATATCTAAACGAGCCTGATAGACTCGGGTCATTTAGGGTCAGGGAATTTACCAGGAAGGGGCGCTCTCCATGCTCCCAAATCAAGGAATAATGCAAAGACAGAGACAGGAGCGCTCTCCTGGGCTCCCCCCTCAGCACCAGGGTGGGGATGGCAGGGATGGGGCCATCCTGCACCTCTGGATGGACCCAAATCCCTCTTCATTCTGCTGTACAGAGGCTGCTTCTGGTTCCTGAGCATTTTATTTACCTAAAGGTTGGCCTTGTGCTGCGTTGCCGTGCCGGGGCCATGCCCAGTGCTGTAGATCCTTGAAGTCTGTCTGTCTTTGGCGATGCTGGTGCTGGCTCAGCCTGGCCAGCGGCTCTTCGTGGCGTGGGGCCGCAGTCAGGTCCCATCAGGGTGGGTTTCTGGCTGTATTTAGGCAGAAAGCAGCTGTATTTCGGTCACTTTTCCCTGCCAGGCCCTTCCTCCCCAGCCACCGCAGCCATCGCAAGGTCTGTCGTCTTCAGCATCGCTTGTGTCGGGCTTCGACTGAAGTGGGTTTGGGAGGGAGAGGGTCTTGCACCCCAGGAGCGCGCAGCATTCACACGGGATGCCGAAATCTGCCCCTGGGTACGTGTGCCTCCAGCTGAATTGCAGTGTATGTGCTGTGGGCACCCCAAATCTGCTGCAAGGGGCCACGGGTCTGGGGACGGCACCGGCAGCTCTCTTCCCTCCAAGGATGTGTCCTTAAAGCGCTGCCAGACAGAATCGCAGCCTCTTCCGAAGGCGGCTCGTAAACCTTCCCAGAATTTGCATGTCGAAGCACAGTCATAGCTCACAGTGCCATTTACTGTAGGAACTTTCTGAGCAATTAAACCACCCACGTCCTGCCAGGTCTCCTGCAGTTCCTTTGACAGTTCATCACAGGGCACATGAATCTGTCCGTTTTAATCCTCCCCGCTCATTTTTAGGGTGTGTTTTCCTCTGGTAAAACCCAGCTGTGATGTGAGCACAGCGGGGCAGGATAGTGAGGTGGGAGATGTCTGGAGAAGCAGGAGCTGGAGCTCGCCAGCCTTGCCCTCGGCTGGGAAGCCGGATCCTGGTGCTGGGTAACGAGCTTCCCCATCACTTCAGGCCGTGCCAGCAAGCTCCGAGCTCCCTCGTTTCTGAAGGGGGTTAGAGGAGGAAAAGGCAAAGCCCAGCTTAGTGTGGGCAGGGGGAAAAGGGAAAGCAGATGGTTCTCAGGACGTGCAGGAGCCTTTTTTTCCTCAAGGGTAGAGCCTTCGAGCCTTCCAGACGGGTAATGCTTGTTTCTATACCCACAGGAGGTGACGGTCCTGCTCGTGGGCCTATTGCTATGTCTTCCTGGACATGGGGTGTTTGTCTCGTAGGTGGATCTCAGGAGCTGCATTGTGCTTTTTTTTTTCTCTTTTCTTTTTTCAGTTAAAACCATGTTTTAGGTGTGAACATGTGGAAGCTCATTGTAGGCAGGGATTCAGCTTTGGCTGGGGCTGCAAGAGCTAAGGGGCTCCTTCACCTCAGCTGTCTGAGTTGGTGGTCAGACCCATAGGATATTCAGTCCTGTAGCCCCCCGGGATGGCCAGCAGCATCCCAGGGGACCATTCTCCTCCTTACAGCACGAGCAGAACATACCCATGATGAGGAGGCACCGTGCCAGGAAAGACCTCTTGGGTTACAAGAACCTGTCCCACCCCTTGCCCCAGGTCTGAAATGCCCAGGTTGGAGTTCGGGCTGGCAGAGGTCCCCAGTTCCTGGCCTTTCCCAGTGCCAGGGAGAAAGGAACCTCATTCCAAATGCTGGAGTACCTTTCCAGGCACGAGGAGAAGCAGTGGCCATCAGACACCACCATTCCCTTTCCTCCTCCATCTGATACTTGGCAATTGCAGCTTTTGTGTGAGCATGGGGTGGGGCATCTGCTCCTCCTGGGTCCCCTGGCCCCAGGACTTAGAAAATCTCCGTTTTTCTTCCTGGGCTGAGACCTCCCTGCCCGCTCCCCCAGCTGTGTGCGTGTGGCATTTCATTTATTGATGTATTATTTTGAGACTCTGAAATGTCGCCTTTTCCTTTTTGGGAGAGTTGCAGGGTATTTTGTTGAGAACCATTCAAAATAGACTCCCAGGTGGGGTTGGTTCTTCTAACCTGGATGTGTGTCAGTGTTAGCAGGGGTATTCTGTGGCAGAGCTTTCTGTGCCATTGCTGAAGGTCTCAGTTAATTAGATGATTAGTCTTCTGGTCAAGTATCTATCTGCAAATAAAAAATAGCAGCTGATTGTAGCTGCTGAAATCCTGTCGCTGGATCAGCCCGTGGCACAGCGCAGGAGAGCTTCTCATTTAATTAAATTCAGGAACGTACTGTACTGTACTCTCCGAGGGTCAAGGAACAAAAGGGATGGACACGTAATAAGTTCCGAGCTGTCCTTTCAAACCCCTTGAGCTCAGCCCGGGGAGCTGTGTTTAAAGGGACGCTCTGGAGAGAACAGCTGTGATTCCTCCTCTCGCTTTTTGAATTTTCTTTCTTCATATCGCTGCGTGGGTTATTGAAGCTGAAAGTAGCCTGTGCCTTTCTCTGCTCTTCTTACCTGTTCTTCCTCTTGGATTTGAAGTGGCTGTTGGCAGATGAACTCATAACACCTTCCAGTGCCTGGGGGGCTGCAGGAAAGCTGGGGGTGGGCCTTTTCCCAAGGGCAGGGAGTGACAGGACAAGGGGTGACAGGTTTGAACTGAAAGAGGGAGATTGAGAGGGGACAT